ACTGAAGCCCTAGGGACAGTGCTTCCCCTTCAACTTCTGGCATACCCTCTCCAACCCCAACAACCCTATAGTATCTCCCAGGAACCTGGAGCCCATGTAATCCATCCCTTTCATGTTATAGACAAGAAAGCCAAGACCCAGAGAATGCAGCAACATGGTGAACTAATTCCAGTCTCTGTTCTCTCCAGTTCAGTGTCGATGGGGATGACAGGCAGGTCAATGGATGATCACTGTATAACATGAGTGTGGGGATGGCAGAAGCCCAGCACTGGGAAAGCCCTGGTTTGGTCATCCACTCAACCATATTCAGAATGCCTCTGATATGCCATGGGTGGTGCCAGCACAGGCAGCTGCTAGATGGTGACTGTGAGGTTCCCAGAGACTCACCCCAGAGTCCTCTTCCTTAGTGGCAGCCTGCCCTCCTGACCTGCTGGAGGCTCCACTCTAGGCTGCAGCAGGACATCACTTTGTAGAGGCCCCCAACACCACCCTGAAGTGACAATCCAGCTCTGCCATCGCTGCCCACTGAGTCCTCCTCTGTCAGAGCTGTAGTGAGGATTCCATGAAGAAACTCTCCCCATGGCTAGCATGTCCAGTGGCCCAGCACCAGTTCTAAGCTAAGGCTATCCTTGCATCTTGCCTACCACCCCTCACACACATTCACTCACTTCTCAAAGAGAACATCTGGAGCCACAATTCCCTGTGTTGTTCTTACTCACCACTGTTCAAAGGCATCTCCTGAGGCACACCAGTGGTTCAAGGGAACTTGGTTTGAAAATATGAGTACAATAATGAGGTATCACCTCACACCTGTCAGAATGGCCGCCATCGACAAATCATCAAACAACAAGTGTTGGCGAGGGTGTGGAGAAAAGGGGATCTAGTACACTGCTTGTGGGAATGCAGACTGGTGCAGCCACTATGGAAAACAATATGGTGTTACCTCAAAAAATTAAAAATGGAACTTCCATTTGACCCAGTGATCCCGCTTCTAGGAATATACCCTAAGAAGCCTGAAACACTAATCAGGAAGAATATATGTACCCCCATGTTCATAGCAGCACTATTTACAATAGCTAAGATCTGGAAACAGCCCAAGTGTCCATCAGGAGACGAATGGATAAAAAAGCTGTGGTACATATACACAATGGAGTACTATGCAGTGGTAAGAAAGAAAGTTCTCTTATCCTTTGAGACTACATGGAGAGACCTGGAAAGTATTATCCTAAGTGAAATAAGCCAAGCAGAAAAAGACAAATACCACATGATCTCACTTATATACGGAATATAATGAACATAACAGTCTGAGGAATACGGTAGACCCAGAAACATGGAAGTAGGGCACAGACTGACATCCCTCAGAAGAGAGGGTGGGGGGGTGGGAGGAGCTAAACCACAGAATTTACATGCATGTATGCATGACCAATGGACATGGATAACAAAGCCGCAGGGGACTGGGCAGGGGTGGGGTGGGGAGGGGGGTACCAATGGGGTAAAAAAGGAGAAACATGTATAACAAAAAAATAATTAATTAATTAAATTAAAAAAATATGAGTACAGCAAAAAGGGTGGAACCCACAGGGCCACATGTTGAATGAACACAGTACCTGCTTTTCAGAGACTCAATTTTCCTTCCCACCTGTAAGATGGGGCCAAGAGCACCAGCCCACCTACCTGGGAAAATGACTTTGTAAGTGACAGGGCCTGTCTGTGTGTCTTCCACAAGGAACAACTCGGAAAGATCAGTCTGAGAAGAGAAACTGTTGGGGGAGGGAAAATTTACTCAAAAAGGTGTGTGGATGGCTCATGGCCATACAGCCATCCTCAGAACAGCGAGCCTGAATTGTGACAGGCTCCAGGTGCTGCCCAGGCCAGGCCCACACCACAGACCAAGAAGCAAAGAGGTCTCTAATGTGACCGCAACATTATGGTCTGGATGCAAATGGCCAGGTACCAGGCATCCATCAGCATCTCAGGAGCCACTTGGTGCTGGGGCAAAAAGGGCAGGGAGGAGCCAGATTTGAGTAGGGCTCCTGAGCTCCTAACCACACAGGTGGCCAGGCCAAGAGAACATCTGTCTCTGTGTGTGTGTGTGCGTGCGTGTGTGTGTGTGTGTGTGTGTGTGTGTGTTTTGTAGCTCAGGATCCCACCAACATTTCTGCTGAGGCCAGACCCTCACTCGCAGGCCAGCCTGAGTCCTCTGCCCAAGATGCTGATGAATAGCCCAGAGTCTGGGGCCCCAGCCCTTGCTGCCAGGTGGTACCTGAATGTTGGCGGTAGCCAGGTCGGTTGGTCAGGTCAGGCAGTGCCTTTCATGCCCTTCCTGCCCTTCCTGCCTACCTGGCCCTGTATCCCCACCACTCTTTTCTGGGGAGGGACTTTTCACTGACTCTTCCTTTAAGCCCACCCTGGGCAGGGACACAAATGTGTATCAGATATGTCCCTGCTCCAAAAGGAAGATGAGCCAGGGGGAGCGATGAGGGCTATAGAGTGCTGAGGAACCCAGACCAAGCCTGGAGAGATGGGAAGGCTTCTGGAGGAGAAATTGATAAGCTAGAGGCAAAAGACTATACAAGGTTAGTAGTAGGTGAGTGGACAAAACTGGGATTGTGCGGGATCCACTATCAGCTGGATTAGTTTGAGCAAAACTCTTAATCCACTGGGGCTTGAGACTCCTCATCTATAAACTAGGTAGTTTAAATAATGTATGGTGGCCTGGCTGGTGTGGCTCAGTGGTTGAGCGTCGACCCATGCACCAAGAATTCACTGGTTCGATTCCCGGTCAGGGCACATGCCCAGGTTGTGGGCCCAATCCCCATTGGGGGCATGCAGGGGGTGGCCAATAGATGTTCTCGCTCATCTATGTTTCTATCTCTCTTTTCCTCTTCCTTCCTCTCTCTCTAAAACTCAATTAAAAAAAAATAGCCTTGGCCGGTTGCTAAGTGGTTAGAGCATGGGCCCACGGACCAGAGTCCTGGGTTCAGTTCCCACTAAGGGCAAGTACCTCAGTTGCAGTTTGTCCCTGGCCCCAGTTGGGGTCATGTTGGTGGCAACCACCTGATGTGTCTCTCTCACATTGATGTTTCTCTCTCTCTCTTCCTCCCTCTCTTCCTCCCATTCTATCTGAAGATAAATGCAAAAGTGTCCTCAGGTGAGGATAAAAAATAATAACTAACTAACTAACTAACTAAATAATAATAATGTATGGAAAGCACTTAGCATGGCACCTGGCAGGCTCTTGACCTGCTATGGACATTGTTATTATTTTTGCATCAGGCAAGGGGGAACAACAGAGGTCTTTGAGCCAGAGGTATTCTTCAGACTCCTGGAAGGAGCTTGTGAGGGTCCAGTCCAAACCCTGGTTGGGAAGATGAAAACTGACCCGAACTTTGGTGCCACTCCTACTGCACACCTAGCCCTCAGCTAAGAGAGTCCTGGTGTCTGTCCAACTCTGAAAGGTTGGTGCTATCAATGCACACATTGTGTAGAAGCTGGGAGAGGTGAAGTAACCAGCTATGGTTACTCAATCAAAAAGTGGCAGAGCCTAGATGGAAACCCAGGTCTCTGAGGCCTCCTACCTGCATCCAGAGTGAGTCCAGGGAGCACAGAGAGTATCTGTGCTGCTTCCACCATAGCAGCCCTGACCAGTGTCAGCCAAATCCTTGCCTTGCAGTCCTCAGTTTCTTTACCTGCCAAAAAGGGACTTGAATTAAAAGTAGTGAGCTGTTAACCAGAGCTTTGCTCTTTTTTAGGCACTCTGCTCTCACCTCACTGAAACCTCACAAACAGAGGAAATGAATGCTCAGAGAGGTCCGGGAACTCTGGGAGGTCACACAGCTCAGAAAAGTGCTGCATTATTGGTCCATTTTATAGATGAGGACATGGAAGTGGCACAAGAAGCTAAAGAACTATTTGACTCCAGAGGTCCTTCAACCCTAACCAGCTGATCACACTACCCTTGGAGAACCATGAAAAGTTCTCTGGTCTTGCTGTTTCCAGGGAGGTGGTGTGGGGACCCAGCTGGGCCCATAGGGGCCTCTGGCTTTATCTTTTGTAGAAGCAAGCAGCCCCAGGCACTCCAGGGCGAGACCAAAGGGCAGGCTGGCCCTCATGGCAGCCTCATTCTCCCACTTCCCCACCTTGCCTCTCAAACTGGCCAGTACTGCACTCTTGGCTCTACTTGACCTTCCTGTCTGCAGATGCAGAATGTGACTCTCCCTGGGGGCAAGACTGGGGAGGGGTCCTCACAGCTGCAACCCTGAGAATGGGCCCATAGGTCAGAGTGTCCATGGACTCTGGAAGCAGAATTTTGTTGATCAGGACTTTGGTCCTTGAAGAAGCCCTTCTCCTGTCTCAGCTGGCACTATGCCCAAGTTGTGGGCTCAAAAGTTTCTATCTGTAAGCATAAGAGGTTTAAATAGATAATGTATGCCATTGCTTAGCATGGGTAGGCACAGTACCGGTGCAGGCATCAAATGCACTCTCCCCTAGCTTTGGGCATATCCTGTTGTAAGTTTTCAGCCACCTAAACCCATGGCAGGGCAGGTGGGTCTGCTTACACCCTTTCTGTGATTTTGACCCACACACGGAGCCTCTTTCCCCAGGCCCAGAGGAGCAGCCTGACTTCCTATCAGCCTGTTGGCCTGAAAGGGATTGTACAGTGCCTAGGAGAGTGCCTGGGTCAGTCGCAAGGGGCATGATGCTAAGAACAGGGAAAGGTCTGGAGCCAGAGAGACCCCCAGGCATCCTGGGAAGGACACAGGGTGGGTTGAGCAGGAGTGTCGAGAGTCCTTCCCCTGACTAGGCAACTGGGAGAGGAGCGAGGGCTTGTACACCTGTAGCAAGGCGTGAGAGAACACGCCCAGAGGCGGAAGGGGCGCGCGGAGACCCCCGGGGCGCCGGAAGGGGCGCGCGGGGCCGTTAGCGGCTGTGGTGGCAGCCGTTGGCGATCGGAGGCCTGGACCAGGCGACATGAGGCGCCTGGCCGGGCAGCAGCTACCATGACCAAGGACTCTCCTAACCCCTCTGGTGGCAGCCGCGCGACACCTAAGAAGCTGGCTAGTCCGGGCCCAACGGCGACGGTGCTGGAGGAGCAGAGGCGGGAGCTAGAGAAGCTGCGGGCTGAGCTGGAGGCGGAGCGAGCGCGCGGGCTAGAGGAGCGGCGACACTTCGCGGCCCAGGCGCGCCAGCTGCGGGAGGCAGCGGAACGGGAACGGCAGCAGCTGGTTGACCATCTGCGCTCTAAGTGGGAGGCACAGCGCTATCGGGAGCTGCAGCAGCTGCAGGAGAAGGTGCTGAGGGAGCGCGAGGCCGAGATCCGGCAGCTGCTGCGTTGGAAGGAGGCGGAGATGCGGCAGCTGCAGCAGCTGCTGCACCGCGAGCGCGACAGCGTTGTTCGCCAGGCACGGGAGCTGCAGCGTCAGCTGGCCGCGGAACTGGTGAACCGCGGCCACTGTGGCCGCGCGGGGGCGCCCCAAGTCGCCGCCGCACAGTGTCACTGTCGCCTGCAGGAAGTGCTGGCGCAACTTCGCTGGGAAACCGACGGTGAGCAGGCCTCACGCATTCGCCATCTGCAGGCGGCGCTCGACGCGGAGCGCCAACTCTTCCTCAAGTACGTCCTGGAGCACTTCCGCTGGCACCCTGTTTTGTTCGATACCCCGGATCCCCAGGCTGCGCATTCTTCGGAAGAGCTGCACCTCGAGACCACTGGCGACTCTCGCCGTCCCCCAAAGTTCGCCTGTCGACTCGAATCTCTCGACGGCCCGAGCGTCCACGTTCGCGTGCGCTCCCGCTCCCTCGACGTGGTGCCCACAGCGTGCTCCAACTGCCCTGACAGCCTGCTCCCCACGCGCGCTGGCTCCCTCGATTCCTTGGCACCAGCTCGTTCCCGCTCGCTCGACAGCACCCCCAGTCGTCCCAAGGCCCCCGAATCCGAAGAGCGGGCCTCCTCCTCTCCAGACACTTTTATCCTGGGCTCCCCGAGTACCCCGCCGCCGCCTCTGCCACCATCACCAACATCACAGCACGAGGGACCTAGCGACCTGACAGGAGAACACTCCGGGAGCCAGCCCTGCGCGGCCCTAACCCTTTCGCCACGGAGTCGGGACTTCCGCGAGCTTGTGAAGCAGAACTCGGAGCTGTCCGAGGCATTGCAGGTGCTGGCACGCCGCTGCTCTGGCCTGCTGGAAGAGAACATGCAACTGCGGCGCTCAGGTTTCCCAGACAAGGCAGAGGAGAAGGTGAAGCGACTCAAGGTGAAGCACGCAGAGCTAACTGGCCTGGCTCGGCGCCTAGAGGACCGGGCCCGCAAGCTGCAAGAAACCAACCTGCGGGCTGTGAGCGCGCCTGTGCCTGGGGAGAGCCGCGTTGGCCTGGAGCTGTGCCAGGCCTTCGCACGCCAGCGCGCCCAGGACTTGTTGGAGCAGGCGAGCGCGCTGCTGGCCAAGGACAAGCAGATAGAAGAGCTGCAGCAGAAGTGCCACTTGCTGCAGGGGCACATCGCCTCGGGCCTCGGCAGCGCCCCGCACCCTACTGGGGGCGCGGTCAGCGCCCAGTGGCTCAAAGTCAGCGAGCTGGACCGGCTACAGCGCGAGTCCCAGCGGGAGGTGCTGCGCCTGCAGAGGCAGCTGACGCTGCAGCAGGCCACCAGCGGCGTCCAGGCGGAGGCGGGCGTCCAGAGCGCACCCTGCGACGAGGTGCAGTGCCAGGTGCAGGAGCTGGAGCGCGAGCTGGGTGCGCGGCTGCACGAGTGCCAAGAGCTGGGGGCGCAGGCGGCGGCGGCACGGCGGCGTGGCGAGGAGGCTGAGGCACAGCTGCAGACTGCGCTACGCAAGGGCGCCTGGCTGGCCAAGGAGAACGCGCGGCTGCAGGCCCAAGCTGACTGGATGCGGAAGGTGGCATCCGAGAATAACGACGTGCGCGAGCAGCTGGGCCGCGCGTGCCAGGAGCGCGACTCCGCAGGCTTGCTGGTGGAGCAGCTGCTGCAGCAGGCGGCGCGCGGGCAAGACAGGCAGCAACAGCTGCAGCATGACCTGAAGAAGGCATTGCGTGATCTCCAGGCTGCCCGGGAGGAGATGAGGTTGCTGCAGTGTCGACCTGGTCACCATCCCCAGGAATCCCTGGAGACCTCCCAAACCCCAGATTCCCAAGGCAGGAATAGCAGAAGGATCAAATTCCAGCCAGGGCCTGAAGACCAAGCATCTCCACAACCCAGCAGAGACAAACAGGAGAAGAAGGAAGCCTCTCTGCTAGAGCACCCAGTTGCTCTCAGAGAACCAAACAGTGTCCCCCAAGTGCCAGACAGAGTCCCAGACAGCCAACCTCTGGACTCCAGACCCCAAGCCAAGAAAACCAGCTCCCAATCAAACTCCTTCTCTGAGGTGGAATCCATGTGGGCCACTGTGCCATCTTGCCTTACTCTGGACATGGACACAGCCAGTGAAGTAGAGGATCTAGATCCTGACAGTGTGTCCTCCACCCTGGAAGTGGAGGACTCAGAGGCCCCTGACACCCCCAAGCTCAAAATCTTCCAGGTTCGATATAGCTACAACCCATTTGAGGGACCCAATGAGCACCCTGAGAGTGAGCTACCCCTCACAGCCGGGGATTATGTATATATCTTTGGGGATATGGATGAGGATGGCTTCTATGAAGGAGAGCTTGAGGACGGCCGGCGGGGCCTGGTGCCCTCCAACCTGGTGGAGCAGATTCTAGACAGTGACATCCTTGGCTGCCTCCCTCTGGAGTCCCCTGACCTTGACCCTACTCAGCTCCCAGCTGGATGGGACAAAGCTTCAAGGGAAGACACTAGTCACAGCTTATTGCCTGGGAATGCTCAGGGAGCTGTGAACAGGGAGACATGCCAGATGGTGAGGGCAGCCTCCAAAACAGAAGTGGCAATAGAGATCTCAGAAGCCAAGACAGAAGAAGGTTGGCTGGGCTCAGTACAGAATGTGGAGGAGCAGGGCTTCTCCAGACTCCTCCTAGGGGCCGAAGGGGTCCTTTGTGTGGCCCCCAAGGAACTACACCTGCAGAATATTGCTGCCACGTCGGCCGAGATCACCTGGATCTACAGCAGCAGCAGCTACCCACACGTGATATACCTCAATGACCAGAAGCATGCCCTGACCCCAGCAGGTGTGAGCAGCTACACCTTCCACAACCTGCATCCCAGCACACGGTACCAGGTACGGGTGGAGGTGCAGCTGCCATGGGACTCAATGCAGGTGTGCTGGGAGACCATGCCTTCCACTATCATCTTTGACACGCCCTTGGCAGGACCCCCTGACCCTCCACTGGATGTGCTGGTAGAGCGTCACACCTCCCCAGGCCTCCTGGTGGTCAGCTGGCTCCCAGTGACTATCGACTCAGCCGGGTCCTCTAATGGAGTCCAGGTCACTGGCTATGCTGTGTATGCTGATGGGTTCAAGGTTGCAGAGATCATGGATGCCACTGCTGGGAGCACTCTGTTGGAATTGTCCCAGCTCCAGCTGCCCCTCATGTGCCAGAAAGTCTCAGTGAGAACCATTTCGCTTTGTGGAGAGTCACTGGATTCAGTGCCGGCTCAGATCCCTTCCGATTGTTTTAACTGTAACAGATTGCCAGAGACCTCTCCACTTAGTTACACCTGTGGTGACATGTCCCCCTGCAGAGACACCTTCCCTGTCTGCCCTCAGAGTCTGACACTGGCTCTACTGAGTGAAAAGGACAGTTCCCACATCCCCAGAAGCTGTGGGGAGCCCCTGGCTGAGTTCCTAGAAGCATTCCTTGAAAAACCCACAAAGAGGCGCTCCCCAGTGCCTAACCGGAGTTCAGAAGCAGAATGTCCAAGTGCAGGGGCTGGCAGCCAAACCCAGGGGCCTGCAGAGGCCTGGGAAGTCCACAGAAAAGACCTACTATTTCAGAAGAGTCCCCAGAACCACAAGCCCCCTCTGCCCAGTGGCCAGTCTCAGGGGGAAGAAGACCACTACCGGCACATAGACACCAGCCAAAGCCCTGCTCCGGGAGTTGTCCATCTGTCCTCCGAGGATGGGCCCAGGAAAGAAGCATGCCAGGAAAAGACTGCCCTTGAGAAGGTTCTTAGGCAAAAGCAAGATTCCCAAGTGTTCACACCTCCCCAGATGGGCACCAGCCACCACCAATATGTGTCTGACTTCCATGACATCTTGCAAGAGGAGGAGGCATTGTGCTTCAGTCCATGGGCCACAGAGAGGCAAGAGCAGAGAAGGGAGCTTAGGACCCAGAGTGGGCGAGGTCAGGCTCCAGGGGACAAGAGAGAGAGCCAGCTCCATGAGCCCTGCTCTGCACTTTGTCCAGCTTCATCCAGCAAGGTCATTAAGATGTCCAGTGGAGGCCCCCCATTGCTGGAGGCAGGCATGGACACTTCGGTCAGGGTCTTTGTGGCGCTCTTTGATTATGAGCCCCTGGTTATGTCTGCCAACCCTGAGGCTGCAGAGGGGGAGCTGACCTTCCAGAAAGGGCAGTTGCTGAAAGTATGGGGCTCTCAGGACCCCCATGGCTTCTACCGTGGGGAATGTGATGGTCAAGTGGGCAACATCCCTGGGCACCTGGTGGCTGAGGTGGAGGAGGGCATGGAGAGGACTGATAGGAGGTGGCATTTGCCAGGGCAAGGGCACCTGCCCTCTGTGGCCCACCTAGATAACTTTGGGGGGCTCACCAGCCCCCATAACTCTTCCCCCCTGCCCCAAGCGAACCCCAGGAGGTCCCCACTGTGCACTCCAATGACCATGATGGCAGCTCTGGACTATGACCCAAATGATGGGCAAGCAGGGAGCCAGATGAAGGGCAAGCTGTCACTGAAGGCTGGGGACCTGGTCACAGTCTATGGGCCTGTAGATGACAAGGGATTCTATTATGGGGAGTCAGGCAGCCACAGAGGACTTGTCCCAGCCCACCTGCTGGATCACATGTCCCTCCATGGAGAGTGAGCAAGACTATCCAAGGGAATATTGGCCTCTGGCTGCCCACTCCCTGCCAGAGAAGCAAGCATAGCAGACCCTTCACCAGTACTCCTCCTTGCCTCCATGAGCACCACTGTGTGAAACCAATGGCAGTCCTTTAGCATCCCCTAACCTCTGAGAGCAGTGGGGCTTAAATCTGAACTCAGATGTTTCCAAAAGAAAACAGGACAAGCAGCCCCTAGAGTGTGACAGGCTGGTTCAGAGTTGACAGTAACTACAACAGATATTTGGAGAAATGTCTTTCTGTGCTCATTAAGTGTTTACTTTAGGAGGTTAACATTATTTATCCATTGTCATGTATGAAAGTCTCGAGGAAAGCCTCCTTCTTTAAAGGGGACCAGAATGTTATTTTTCTCTTATTTTCAACCCCATATTAAAATATTGATAGAAAAAAGAAAAATAATATTTTATTTTTATTTATTGATTTGAGAGAGAGAGGGAGACCGGTTTCTTACTCCACTTATTCTGCATTCATTGGTTGAGTGAACCCTCAACCTTGGCGTATCAAGACAACGTTCTAATCAACTGAGCTACCTAGTCAGAGCTGAAAAAGAATATTTTAGAAGAATATTTTCCTCCCTCTGTTCTGTTTAGGAGCCCCAAAAGGGCAGTAAAAATGTTTTCCCAGCTGGGGGAAAGGGAGGGCACCCCCCTGATTTTTAGGGTCAAGGTCAGTGTCTGCTGGCAAGGCCACCAAGGGGCTAGCCAAGAGCCAGGGCTGAGAAGCAGGGCCCCCAAAGCTTAACACAGCCAGCTTTTCCCATGGGCATCACTGCCCAGGGACTATGTGTCCATTTGTGAAGGGTGGAGTCAGTGTCTCCCAGCTGCTTCTTGAGGAACCTCTCTGGGAAAGCATGTTCACTTTTACTCCATTTTACAGAAGAGCTGCTGAGCCCAGGCGGTGTGGCTCAGTGGAGTGAGTGTCGTCCCTTGCACCGAGAGGTCACAGGTTCAATTCCCGGTCAGGACACACACCCAGCTTTCGGGCTCCATCCCCACTATGGGATGTGCAGGAGGCAACCCATTGATGTTTCTATCTCTCTCCCCTTCTCCCTTCCTATCTAAAAAAATCAATTTAAAAATATCTATATATTTTTTTAAAAAGCTGCTGAGGCTCAGGGGGTCCCTTCAGATCCCACAGTTCCAGAACTGCTTCCTCCCATAATCTCTGGGGCTCCTCCTCCAAGAGAGGGGAGATGAGGGGTGGTCTTCATCCTCTACTTCTGTTTGATGCCCCTTTGTTTCCCTCAGTCCAACAATGCTGTCAGAGGAAGGACACTGCCTTCCTGAGTGCAGGAGGAAATTACTGGAAGCATTCTTGGGCAGGAGGATTGGAGCTGCAGGCAGGTTCTTTGGGGAGTTGGTGTCCAGAGGTCCAGAGGGTTCCACCATGGTGTCCCTGAGCTGAAGGTGGGAAAAGGTAAAGGGCAGGCCCAGGGGCTGTCTCAACCTGACACACTGCTCCTTTATCCTCAAAGGAACAAACAAGGCAGCTGTGGCGTGCACATGTGCATTTACCACTCATGAACAGAATGCTGTGGGGCTGGGCTTGGGGAGGAAACCCTTTGTCCTATCCACTGAGGGCCATAATCATCCCCTCTCAGGTTCACTCATAGCCACTCATTTTTACGGTGAAAAAGTTGGTTCAAAAGGTTCAGTGGTGGGTTTGGGAAGGCAACCCAGACCAGCTCACAATTTAAAAAAAAAAAAAAGATATAATATACATAAGATAAAATTTACCATCTGAACCATTTTTGTGTACAGTTCAGTCATTTACATTGTTGTGCAAGCAATCTCCAAAACTTTTCATCTTGCAAGACTGAAACTCTTGTACCCGTTCAACAACAATCCATTCCCCTCTTTCCTCCGGCCATAACTTTTCATCTATTTTCTATCTCTATGAAATTGACTACTCTAGGGACCTCATATAAGTAGACTGGATATAGTAAATTTGTCTTTTTATATCTGGCTTATTTCACTTAGCATAATGTCTTCAAGTTTCATCCATGTTGTAGCATGTGTCAGAATGTCATTTCTTTTTTGTTGTTAATCCTCACCCCAGGATATTTTTCCATTGATTTTTTTTTTATTCTTCACCCCAGGATATTTTTCTATTTATCATTAGAGTGGGAGGGAGGGAGAGAGAGACAGAGAGAAACATCAATGTGATAGAGCCACACTGACTGGTTGCCTCTCTTATGACCCAACCAGGGCCAGGGATGAACCACAACTGAGGTACGTGCCCTTGACCAGAATTGAACCCATGACTCATTGGTCCACTGGCTGATGCTCTAACTGCTGAGCCAAACCAGCCAGGGCTCCACTGATTTTTTAGATAGAGTAGGAGGGAGGGAGGGAGAGAGAGAGAGACATTGATGTAAGAGAGACACATCAATTGATTGCCTCCCTGCATGACCCTGTCCCCGGCTGGGGATCAAACCGACACTCTAACTGCTGAGTCAAACCAGCCAGGGTAGAATTTAATTTAATTTCTTTCTTTTTTTTTTTTTGTTCAGGTAGAGTGGGAGGGAGAGAGAGGAAGAGAGAGAGAGAGAGAAACATCGATGTGAAAGGGACACATCGAGTGGCTGCCACCCGCACGACCGACCAGGGCCGGGGACAAACTGCAATCAAGGTACATGCCCTTAGTGGGAACCGAACCCGGGTCTCTCAGGACCGCAGGCTGATGCTCTAACCGCTGAGCCAAACCGTCCAGGGCTCATTTCTTTTTAAGGCTGAATAATATTCCATTGTATGGATGTACCAAATTTTGTTTAACCACTTATTCGTCAGTGGACATTTAGGTTGTTTCTACTTTTTTAGCTATTGTGAATAGTGCTGTTACAAACATGGTTGTACAAGTATCTCTTTCAGCTTTCACAGTTTTTCAAACTATCAGATCTCTGTGAGCACAACCCAGAATGGTACCTGAAGATGATGAGCAGTGAGAAAGCTGCTCCTGCCCTGGCCGGTTTGGCTCAGCAGTTAGAGTGTCGGCCTGCAGTCCAGAGAGACCCGGGTTCGGTTCCCATTAAAGGCATGTACCTCAGTTGCAGTTTGTCCCCGCCCTGGTTGGTCGTGCGTGTGGCAGCCACTGGATGTGTCCCTTTCATATTGATGTTTCTCTCTCTCTCTCTCCCTCTCTCTCTCTCTCTCTTCCTCTTTCTCCCTCCCGTTCTACCTGAACAAAAAATGGAAGTGTCCTCGGGTGAGGATTTAAAAAAAAAAGAAAGATGCTCCTGCCCAGCAGGTGTTGCTCAGTGGTTAAGCATCAACCCATGCACCAAGAGGTCACAGGTTCAAGTTCCGGTAAGGGCACATGCCCAGGTTGTGGGCCCAATCCCCAGTGGGGAGTATGCAGGAGGCCACCAATCGATATTCTCTCTTTCTCTTTTTTTTTTTTAATACTCATCTGAGGACATTTTTCGATATTTTGTTCAGAGAGAGTGAGAGGGGGAGAGAGAGAGAGAGAGGGAGAGAGAAACATCGATGTGAAAGGGACACATCGAGTGGTTGCCACCACATGACCCAACCAGGGCTGGGGACAAACTGCAACCGAGGTATGTGCCCTTAGCGGGAACCGAACCCGGGTCTCTCCAGACCGCAGGCCGACGCTCTAACCGCTGAGCCAAACTGGCCAGGGCGATATTCTCTCTTATTGATGTTTCTACCTCTCTCTGGAAAATCAATACAGAAAAAAAAAAGGTGCTCCTACTGTGGCCAGTTTGGATCAGCGGTTAGAGCATCAGCCTGCAGATGGAAGGGTGAGTTCAATTCCAGTCAAGGGTACGTACCTGTGTTTCAGGTTCAATCCCCAGTCTTGGCTGCACTTTTAAAATTAAATACAGCCCTGGCCAGTTTGGCTCAGCGGTTAGAGCGTCGGCCTGCGGACCAGAGAGTCCCAGGTTCAGTTCCCACTAAGGGCATGTACCTCGGTTGCAGTTTGTCCCCGGCCCCAGTTGGGGTCGTGTGGGTGGCAACCACTCGATGTGTCTCTCTCACATTGATGTTTCTCTCTCTTCCTCCCTCTCTCCCTCCTGCTCTATCTGAAGATAAATGGGGAAAATTTTTTTAAATTAAATACAATAACTGATTCCATAAAAAACACAAATGCAACTCAACAAGAATTATACCAGCCACATTATCCCATCATTTTTTACTTAACTTTACATCCTTCCCTGACCATGGGCCAAAATCACTTTCTTTTTCCCAACAGCTGCAGGATAGACCACATCTAGACTATACAATGGCACCTCCACCCCTCAGTTCAATCCCCAGCCTGCTTTATTTTTCTCCACAGCCCTCATCCACACCTGGTAAGTTACCAGTGGTTTTTCTATTGTCCGTATTCCACCCCCACAGCCATCTCTTTGTCAGAATGTAAGCCCACAAAGGAAGACACTTTTTGGCTTATTCATTGCCTAGCATATAGCAGGTCCTCAATAAATGTGTACCGAACAAGTAGTTTTTGACCATCCCCTATAAGTGGCCCCTGTGCTGGGCCTAGACACTGGCTTATGCTCCAGGAATTCACACCCTGCATCAGCTGCGTCACCCACTGGAATAGAATAAGACGTGAACCCTGTGCAGCAGAGGAAGGATTTGGTAATTCTGACCATGGGGCCCGCCTCGTGTGGCTCAGTGGCTGAGTGTAGACCCATGCACCAAGAGGTTGCCAGTTTGATTCCAGGTCAGAGCACATGCCCAGGTTGTGGGCCCAATCCCCAGTAGGAGACATGCAGGAGGCGGCCAGGCGATATTCTCTCTCATCGATGTTTCTCTCTCTCTCTCTCTCCTTCTCCCTTCCTCTTACTCTAAAATCAATAAAGAAAAAAAAAAATTCTGACCACGGCCACTGGGTCAGGTGAGGAGGAGGGCATCTAGGCAGTGGGAATAGCAAAAGCAAAGTTCCCGAGTCACGATAATGAGCGATTGCATGTTTGGGGAAACTTGGGGAGCAGAAGCAC